TCTTGCATAGTCTAAGAGCAAGCACAATAGATAATTTCTTATTTTTTGGATCTTTAGCGTGTGCAATTATGGTTGAGCTCATAAATTAACTTGCAGTTAATGCATAATGCCATCTAGTGGGAAAATCAACAAGTCTAGATGCAACAAGTCTGTTTGGACATCCCATGCAATATGAATCTAAGTAGTGTTGCAACCACTTGACAGTTTTAATACTGAATTAAGTTTTGAGCAGAACTATAACTCAATTGGCATGCTCTTGATTTTCTTTCCTAATTAAATTTCATTTAGAGATTTAATTTTATGGTCAATAGAATTACACAAACCAATAAAGGAGTCAATTCAAAGAACTTTAGTGATACATCAGCCAGAACAACCTGTAATTACTGAGAGTTTCAGAACTAATGATCTTAATCTTCATAACTATGAGGTCACTTTCCTAGATCTGTAGATAAAATAGGAAACAAAGTGACCAAAAATCAAAATGATATAAAAGTAAATAAGCTTGTCATAAAAGATTGGAGCAGAATAAGGGGCCTAGAGAGACTATTGTCATCAGATAAGTAATATCTGACTCCATTAAGTGTCCTTCTAAAATCAACAGGGAAGGAACAATCCAAGAGGGGTAAGTCATCAGGATTTTACCTTCATAAAAACACAGCACTTGCCCTCTATTGCTGAATTAACCTTCTCTTAGACCTGAATTATCACTTTCTCAAAAAAAAACTGAGCCAAGATAGTGCTATCCAGAGCAAAGTGGGAGAAGTGTAAGTTAAGAGACAAGAAGCCAAAAGCCAAGTCTATTTTATAACTAAATAACAATACACCCAAGCACTAATAAGCTCTTGCAAGCATTGCCTGATGCAAGAAGTGGCTTGGCTGCTCCAGGAGTTGAGTCTCAAATGAAGGATTACATGTGTAGAACTTACTGCAGTGAAACTGAGGGGAGTCTGGCATCTAAAATAAAAAACAAAGTGCAATGCTCTTGCTTTTTTTCCTCATTAGCTGAATTTCAAATGTTATAGGAACAAATTATTTTCCTTGTGACACACACACACAAATCTTGTCTGACCCCAATATGGCTCTTGTTGACTCAGCCTGAAAAGTCATTCTGTATCTCCTGCTAGTAAATTATACATATAATCCTTTATATAACAATGAAGACACTTTGGTACAAAGATAAGACAGTCTATGGATAGGTTTTCAATAAAGAAGCAAGTGAAGAAAGCAGGACCTTTTGGACGCCCAAACTCTTCCTGAAGTCACAAAGACTGTGCACCTAACTACACTTTCTGAGCATATTAATTGTAAATTAATTAAACCAGTTCCCTTAATGAAACATATTGCTTCTATTTGCAGATATTGTCTCAGTTTGACTAAATTTATACGTATAAATATACCCAACGTGTATAGTCCGGTGACAGCTGTATAGTCGGTGGATAAAGCAACAAATTAATCCAAGTATATAAACCTTAACAGGAAAACAAAAAAAAATCTTAAAATACACATTTTCTAACAGAAGGAAGTGAAAATTAAGTGAAACTTCTGGGACTATTGAAGCATCCCTGCACCCTGATACTGAAAATATGTGTGGTCTTGATGATGGAGAGGGAGCTGTCTGCATTACTACAGGGCTGCCTGCCCCCTGATGACTTCTAGGCACCACTGAAAGCTTTAGACAGAATTTGAAAGAAGCAGAAATTGAATTTTATCATAGTCTGATTAAGTTATATGACTGACATCTCCATCTTCCTTTTTGGTTATAGGACAATTTTATTGCAGCAGAGGTTCAAAATTTCACTGACATTTCGAACTTCACTTACACATGTCTTTTTAAGCAACCAGTACAATTCAGATTTAAAGGCAAATGAAGTTTGAAGTGGGTTTCACACTCTTCATTCTACAGAGAATATTTTTTTCCCAATTTCTTATGCTCCTTTTCCTTGTAAAATTAGCAAATTGTAGTAGCTCAACTCTATCACTGCTAATACAATGTAAATGTTTTAGTGGAGTTATTAACCACTCATCCTATCCATTCTTCTATAAATCCAGATCAGACAGCATTTGTTGGAGGTGAGAAAGACCACGAGGAAATGGAGACAGCATATGCTCTGTGGAAGAATCAAGGGAAAGAAGAGATTTCGCTTGAAGACTGGAAGAACAACCCTGTCAACACCACTGCCTGTGACAATACCAATATTTGAGGACTTTGTCGTGGTAGCTTTGTTAAAATCATAAAACCTATAACTAGGTTGTCTCTCCCATGTTTCCCTCACGGACTTGAAGCCTAGCAGGCATAGAGACAGTGTTCCATTGGTCAGTGTACCAGGTGGTACTGGCCAATCATGTTTTCCCCAGATATCTCCTCCCTTGTCCCTACCTCCTAATGTTTATTCATTTACCCTCATCCAACCGATGTTAGTGGATTTGCATGCTCCGCCCCATCTCCACCCACCTTCCAGACCCTTCTCTGCCTAGCCCTATAAACCCCACCATTTTGTGTTAATAAAGTTGGATCAGCTCTTGGCTGTGAAGGTGTTCAGATGGGTGTTGTGTGTCTCTTCTTGGGCTGCGTCACAGCTTGAACCTGACCTTCCAGCCTCTACCTCAAGCTCTCTTCTAGCATCTACAAGCTAGCCACAAGAACCCCTGTCACTGGTCCGCTCCTTTCCCTTTTTCAAAACTGTGACAAGCATTCATTATGGATAGACAAATGTCAACATTTATAGAGACCTGTTGCTTTTGTTACTGCTGCACACACAGAGAAAGGTCTGGCTGCAATACAGGAGAAACTTTTGGCTTTGAATTCCACAAGAAAATGGTTCCCATTTCTCATAAGAAGAATGCCATGAATTATGTGATGGCCTGGCTAAGAGGATGAGAAACAATTATGAGAATAAAGAATGCAGAAATCTATTAGAACTCATCTGTATGTTGTTGACATAATTTTTGCCTCTTTCAAAAAATTAGTATCTGAAGAATTTAAATATTTTACTCACAGCATCTTCCATTAAAATGAAATATTCAAACACAAATTGCATGCCAGGACTAGGGAAACTAATTCTGTTTCCTTCAGCAAAAAAATCTCACCAACCAACCCAACAAAAAACCCCAACAAAATCAATCAGACAAAAAAAACCCCAAACAAACAACAAACAAACAAACAAACAACCAAAAAAAACACAAAGTGGGTAACAGATTCCACTGGGTACTAGAAATTTGATGGCCATCAAAACTTAGAAGAGTTTGATTTTAAGTGTCAAACATCTGCTTGAGAAGATGTAAAAAATCCCCCAAAACTGGCACACCTTGAAATGTGTATAGTTTCCTGGTTATGAAGAACATTTTGGCAGTGGTTATTAGTCTTTTATAAGTGAACATCCTAGCAAAACACTCAGCTACAATTCATTTGGCATGAGAAAAGGGTAAAACTCTCTTCTCCAATTCACAAAACAATGTGGATTTGCTATTCAAAACAACACATTAATGTTATCATATTAAAGAGTTTATCAGACAACTTCCAGAAAAAGTGAGCTGGGGAGTACTTACTTAAATATCAGAGCAGAAGCAAAATAAATATTATTGCTATAGATTAGTAGAAAGGTAATTTCCTCAAACAGTCACACAGATCTTTTCATAAAAAGGCAGCACGAAAAAAAAATTATTCATTTGCCGATGACATGAAGTGCCAGGGAACAAGACAATAACCCTAATCAGAAATTAGAATTTAAAATATGGGAAGAGAAAATAGATGTGAGTTGGGTGTTATTCCCCCTAAAACCTATTGTATCTCTTTTCTGACACAGACAAATCCCCCAGGAAAATGCAACTAGTCTCTCTTCTCATTAAATCCCTACCTTACCTTCAAGGTACTGATTATGACTCTTGATTTTTTTTTTTTTAATGCATAAGGTTCAATTTATAAACTATAAATATTTCATGAATGCAGGAGTCGAACCTGACTAGGAAGGAAATGTACATCTACCTTTTCAAGCAGCCTTTTTAACAAACTCCAGGTCTGACCTGGTAGGAAAAGTTCTCAGACAGGTGCACGAGGAGAAAGGGGCACTGGCTTGGCCAGGGGAAGAGTGACCCAATCTGTGTAGGGTAAAAAAAATGTTTTTTGATTTCTGTAGTTCGCTTTAATTCCTGTTTAACCATATAAACTTAATGGAATATTGTCCTTTGAAAATGGATGTGAGACAACATGAAGTTATGCAAATACATTGGAAGTGTCTAATTGTTAAGATGCTTTTGGATAGGAATTAGCAAGTAATTATAAGCAATTGGACAAGTTTATTACAAAATTATATCGACTTTTGCTTCCTAAGAATTTCCTAGCTTTTTTTTTCTTTTCTTTGATGCACAAATGAAATCTCAGCTGCTTAAATTCATGTCATCCATAAGAGTCACCATCGGAGAAGAAAGATCTCTCCACATAACATGGGAAGCAGGAGTAAAAAAGAAAAAAAGAGGAAGATTATTACTTAAGTAACAGGTAGGTGTCTCTTTAAAATAAATGTTCCCTTCCATTCCTATTTAATCCTTGTGAATATTAACAATGAAATAAACCCACTGTCAAATAAGTCAGTTTTACTCACTCATATAAAACCTGGAAACGAAATGTCTTCGGTGATATAAAGAAACATTGTTGGGAATAGAGACATGTAGTCTTGAATGACTGCATAATTTTTCTCTGAACAAAATAGTAAGCCCAGTTTTTGTGGTTTCCCATATTTACATAGTAATTTTGTCTTGAATTAAGAGCAGCTTTTAAAATAGTTGGAAAATGCTCACTGTGAAGAACCTTTTCCAAGATTTTCTGCTCACTTTAATGTGGCATACTTTGCATTCTATGTTTTTATCCCTCCTTTGTTGCCACAGTGGAATGTATCCATGCTTGTGGCTCTTGCTAGCTGTGGCATTTTTTGCAAATATGATCCGGCAACAACATTGCATAGAGGAAAAGTAGGTGCTTATGTGAGGTGTCATCAATTACTTACCAAGGTCACCCCATGCTCTGTTCTCTGGGAATTGGATTATAGGCACTTCTTCATAGTCTGAAGGAAAAGATACTGAATTATCATATTCTTCTTTCAAAACAACACCCTGATTATTTTTGACCCAAGTTAATATTCAGTCTAAAAATGCCAAGAAGAGAGATGATTTCAATTTAAACTCTATTTAACCCAGTGCAAGAGAAAACCACTAAATGACCTACGTACATTGGATAATAATTTAAGCATGCCCTGCAGTTTAAAAATTAATGCACTTTTGTTGCACTACGACCAACATTATTTTTTATTTTAAATTAAAAAAAAAAAAAGGGTGACTAATATCGGGCTGAGAATTACCTAGACTAAGTTAAAAGAACCTGGTATTTTCATCCTGTTGACCACTGAAAAAGTGAAAGACACATTGATGAAGTAAAAAAGTGAGCTTTTTTTTTTTTGTCAGCCATGAAACGTCTGATAGACCAAACCAATAAACCACCCTGAGTTACAACAATACTCCCTGACACTGCAATACAACTCCAGAGACAAACACAGTATTTTGTTGCCAAAAAAAGGCAAGTTTTTGTTGTGTCTGTATGAAATGTAACCAAAATTAACATTGTCTTGCTCTTGTGCCTTTAAACATTCTAAAACATAATCACGGGGCCAGCTGACCAGCCCTTTCCCAATGTGCAAGAGTGCTCTTCATGTAAGTGCTGCACTTAAGGTGATGGTCGATATGGAACATTGGCTAGTTAATGTCAGTGGAATCATGCAAAATTCCTTCTCAGGAGCCCTTGAGTGCACCACTGTGTTTCTGCCAATTCCAGTGAAAACATTCCAGTCAGTAGCCCTAAAGAGGGAAGGAAAACCAGAAATTCAAATGTGATTGATATTTTTTGGTTTTTCAATGGAGGAAAGGGAAGAAAGAGAGGGAAAGGGAGAGAGAAGAGAAAGGGAGAGAGAAGAGAAAGGGAGAGAGAAGAGAAAGGGAGAGAGAAGAGAAAGGGAGAGGGAGGAGAAAGGGAGGAAGGGAGGAGAAAGGGAGGAAGGGAGGAAGGGAGGAAGGAAGGAAGGAAGGGAGGAAAGAGGGAAAAGGACTACTACAAATAACCACAGCAAAACTAGACCACAGACAACCCAGATGAAGAAAAAGAAAAGAAGTTATTTTTGTTGTTGCTGGATGCTGTGGTGCATGAGACCCTATTTGGAATAAACTTTCTCTGAAAGTCAAAATATTATGGAAATTACAGGCAGTTCCAGCTGGGAACAAAGTTTTGCAAGTGTGTATTAATTTTGTAGCAGCTATAGAATACAGGATGATGTAAGGCTAGTTAGATCAAATCCAGAGATATGGCTTTTTTTTTTTTTTAAATTGATTTTGACTTCTCATTATTCGTATCCAACAAAGGGAGGTTTGAGGGGCTGGGAAATAAAATAATTTAGTAACACAGCTATTAAAGTGAGACATTTTTCTCTTCATTGACTGCCTACAGGTTTCCTACACGAGAAGTCTGACAGGGCTGGAAAACGGGATGCATGTATTTAAAAACCCAGCCCTACGTCTTTGTCCAGTGGAATCGAGGTAGAGTGAAAGAGGTGTCACGAGAATAAGGGGCAGTGCTGGAAACCAGCTTTCAGCTGCTGTGGTGTGGCAGTCTCATTGCTTCTTAGCAGCTCGTTTATATAAATAATGGCCTGAGCTGAAAGGCCCCTCATTGTGGATCTGCTTAATGTTTTGAATTTGTATTTGCTCAAGGCAGTGTATCTCCCTTCTCACACGAGGCCACGTTTGAAAGTACTGAAGAGACTCATTTAAAAGGAACTCTGAGACTCTTTGCAGGCCTCATATTCTTTGCTATAGCCTGAACACTGTAGCATTTACACAAATAGAGACAGCTGCAGTCCCGGCCAGACACAGTTTTATGTAAGAGCAGCAATTGAGGACAACTAAAAAAAAAAAAAAAAAAGTAAAAGAAACACATTACAATTTAAAACTTGTGCTTTTGTGTTCATAGTTCCTGTTTTCCTCTTGATCATTTGGAAACCTACCCCTTTGACCTCCCTTTAAAGAAATGGAATTAGGAATCTCCAGGCACTTCCCTCTTGGGTTGATTTCTGGAAGTTATAAGAATACCAAAATAGCTTCGAGAGACTTATAGAAAGGAAGCAGCATCCAGTGAGACTCACTAGTCAATTTTTCATTTATGCAAGGAATAAGAAAGTTCTTACTGGAATGGATCAGTTATGGAGATCAGATATGGATTTATCTCCCTAAAAGAGGAAGGATCCTGCAATAATTACTTTAGGGAGCATTATATCTGTTGCAGCAATTCCAAGGCACTCTTCATGGCATGTACTGGCTGCACTCTGCATGGGAGGATGTCTCCATAAACAGACTCATCAGAGGTTTCTGTATCCTACCAGTCCCTGAAAAGGATTGGTCTCCAGTCCCTTGTCTCTGACCAGGTTAAAAACTGGTTCTACTCATTTAAGGATTCTCACTTCACCGATACTTTTGACAATCTATTTTTATGGTAAGTAACAAAAGGTAAGTATTTTCTACTTTTCATTCATCTCTCACATGCAGTTACATTATCTGTCTGCTCTTGTATTTTCCAGGTTCACGGTCACCAGAGCTTAATAAACAGCACATTAAAAAAAAAAACAAAAAACCCACAGTATTTTTTTATGGAGTTACTAGTTTCCAACCCCTCCCAACTCGACCCAAATCCCTGAACAATACTTCCCTCAAAAGAACTCATGTGTGTTAACTTATGCAGGTGTGAAAGAGCCTTTTTTGACATTAACATCATATAGGCACTTTGTAATCTACTCTCTATTTCCCGAGGGAAAAGAAAATAATGTTGGCATTGCTTATATTCATATTAACGCTCAACTAGAGGATGAGAGTGTCAGGATCACAAAGCAGGGTAGGATAGCTAAAGGTGAAGGTGAAATTTAGGCAAGAGGCATGAAGACTACCACTACATTTCATATAGTAGGTTTGGCAGACTACACACAAAGAAATCATAAGACTGAATAAAAAGGAAACACCAATCCCTGACACCACAACTGCCATCTCAATTCCACAAGGTTGCCAGAATGCCAATTAGTTTCCGAGCCAGTATTTTATATGACTTACCTTAACAGTTCCTTACATTTACTTTTTTACATAATTCATGGTTTAAAATACAGCTCAAAAGGTTTTGAAGGTTAGTATACAGCTTGAAGAGGCATTTTTAAGAATTAAGACATTTTGGTAGTGCTGTTGCACTGACCATTCCCCTACAGGTATTACAAAACTGCTGCAAAACTTTTTTAAGGCTGACATCAGCAAGATTCTGACAGTTTATAAAATCATGTCACTGCCATGCTAGCATAAATATTAATTTCCATCTGGCCTTTCTATATTCCCCAATTTTGCTAATTCCTCAAAAGAGATGGGCAGCCTGATCTTAATATAACCTAAATAGGGATTATATCCTTATATATCACCCAAGGACCAGCGCTTCAATGCCCAGTTGTCTTCTGATATTTTCTAGGCTCAAATCAAAACACGATGCAGTTTCACAATTTATCTGCATGCCAGTAGGCATGAACTGGGAGACTGTGCGTGCACAAAGAAGGCTTTGTTTATTTGCACCTCTCTATCTAGTCATTAGAAACCAGCAGAGAAGAAGCGAGCAGCTCTGGCACAGATCTAGCTGTAAAATTTTACATTTTCAGAAAACACTTCCGTGCACCTAGGGTTTTAGTTTTGTCCCTATGTTCTTCTAGGAAAGGCAGGTGAGTGAACTGAGAGCAGCCCCTGAACGCCAGCAAGTCTCCAGCTGTAATTCCGTGCCTGAGACGGCTGTATATTCTAGGACAGTTTCAGGCTGATGCTGGTAAAACCAACCGTAAGTGTAACAGAGCGCCAGCGCTGGGGGGTCTGAGGTGCCAACGTGAGGCGATTCTGCTCTGATCCCCAAAAAGGGCTGTGGCAGAGGGAGAACGAGCAAATCCCCGGCAAGGGGGAGCCGCTTTTTTACCTGCGTGAGGGAGGGCGAGGCGGACGGGGCCTCGCTCCTCAGGGCCCGCGCCCGCAGCCCCCGGCAGCGGCGGGAGGACTCCGGGTTTGGACGGTCCCTGGACAGCTCTTCCCCCTAAGCCTCCGGAAGGAGGAGGAGGAGGAGGCAGAGCCTGGCATGGCGAGGGGAGGCTGACGAGCCTCCCTCTCTTCCCAAGCCGCTCCCGCCGCCGGAGGAGCTCCCTGGGGCGGGGAGGGGACGGGCAGCTCCGGGAGGCGGCACCGCTCCCCCCCTGCCCCTCTCCGCCGCCGGCGCGGGCAGTGATGAGGCGGCCGCGGGGAGCGGAGCAGCCGGAGTTTGTTTGCTGCCTGCCCTCGCCTTCCCTGATGCTCTGAGCCGGAGTCTCCTCCTCTCCCCGGGTTCACACCCGGGCTGGATGCTCCGCTCGCTCCTCGCCTCGCTGCCAGAGCCGCCGGCCACTTCTCACCGCCTCGCAAGAGATGGACCCGTCCGCTGCCCCCCTGGACACTACCCCGGACCCCGCCATCGTGCAGCCCCCCGGGGCCAGCCCGCCCGTGCCCCCACGGGAGCAGCAGCAGCAGCAGCAGGAGCAGCTGCGGATCGGGGAGAGCGGGCAGTTCAGCGAGGGGCTGGAGGACAGAGGTGAGCGTCCGTCGTCCATCACCCGCCTCCCTGCGCGCTGCCCTCGGCCGTCACCTCCCCTCCGTCCCGAGGCGCCTGACACCCACCCCGACAGCTCTGCCGACACCCTCCCTGCAGCACCCTCTCGCCTCGCTGTCCTGGACCTGCACCCTCCTCTTTCCGCCTCAGCATCCCTGCCCGCCCCCTCCGTTTCAGCCCTGGCAGCCCCACAGCGGCTCCAGCCCCCCGAGCTGCTCCCTCCAGCCCCGCTCTTCTCCTGCCCCACCGCCCCCGGCCGCCCCCCGCTCCCGCACTCACTTCACACCCCGCGCCGCCCTCGGAGCTTTTCCCCGTTTTAGCTCCCGTACGAGAGCTCCGCGACAGCTTTGAAGTATTTTTATAAACTCTATTCGTGTCTGTTCCCACCTCGCCCGGAAACTTGCCTGCCTGGCGGGGGAGCGGGTGCCGGCGGCACATGGCTCCACAGGCAGAGCCCGGCGAGGGGCGCGGGGGGCTCCCGGTGTTCCCGGGGCTCCCGGGAGGGCCGGCCAGGGCCAGGCAGGGCCGGAGGTTTCCTCGCCATGAGCTTCCCTGCCCGGCGGGGTGGTCACAGCCGCCCCCCCCGAGCACGGGCTCATCGGGGCGTTTCTGAGGGGAGTCCGCCCCAGCCAGGCTTGGGGGCTGAAGTCGGGGCACTTGTCTCACCCTTCCCCCGCCATATATCGCACTTCCACAGAACTCGTTTTTTGTTATTTACCTAAACATCTGACCAAGGGTGGAAAGCTCCCTGCTTTCAGACCGTGTTGCGCGTTAATGCCAAACACACCTATTTCGGACATCTGTTCAGGGTGTGTGAGGCACTCACGTACCTGCCGCCCACAAAGGCAGCTGCCATTTTAACCCACCCCATTGCCCTGCCCTCCACACCGCCTGCAGGCTCCTCTTTTCACGCAATTTGTCTCTATTTTTTATTTCATGTTTAGGCTTCCCTTAGCCTCTCTGTTGCCTTTTTTTTTTTTGCTTTTTCATTTTGCTTTCAGCACCCCAGAGTCCCTTTCATGTTCTTAGTCTTCATCCATAATCCCTCTACACGTTACCCCCTCCATCTCTCGTTCTTTCCCCAGCTTTCCAAATGCTTGTGCCTGCTCACAAATCTAGACGAAGTAGAGAAGTAAGAGGGAAGAGCAGTCACCACCTTAATGACAGGTTTCAATCATGTCGGGGCTGGGGACAGCCCTTATTCAAGGGGTACCCTCACTGTCAGCACCACAGGCACAGGACAGACACTGTACCTGAGGACAATTTGAGGCTTCGGTTCCTGTTTTAAATAATGGCAGTGAGGAGTTTTGATTACGGTTCAAACATGGAAGTTTGATTGCAGAAATTTTGAATTCGTGCCCAGTATGACAGAGATAAAGATAAAATCTGTCCCTTTTGGTATTAAGGGTAATTCCATAAAACCAGATTGTTTGCTGTACCTACACTATCGTTTTCTATGACGGAGATGAGACTAAAGCTGATGATTTTATTTCCTTCTTTGCCTTCATGCTCTTCTTATGGCCCTTGCAGTAGTTTTCTTTTAGCCTTTCCTGTAGTCACCGACTCCATGTGCCAGGATAATTCCCAGTCATTGTAGAGGGAAATCTGGTATGCTTTTTGCAGGTTGTCCCTGTTAAAATGTTAACAGTATGTCCTTTTAGGTTGTACTTTTTCTTACGATCCTTTCCAATGATTCATAGCAGATCCAGTTATAGAGATGATGCTTCCGTGTTTGCTAAAAATAAAAACTAACCCTAAATTTTGGAACAAGATATTTGCTCCTCAAGAGCCAGATCCAAAATCAGTGATAATTTTGTGGATTGTGTCCCTAAATTAACATTCTTAGATGAACAGGTTTTTTTATTAGCCTTATCTCTTCCACAAATTCTAGCTTGACATTTTAAAATAATCCCTTAGCCAAATAGAAAAGTACTTCTGGTAAGTCAGCATATGGTAAAGAATATCCTAGAATCACTTCACAAATATGCCAAGCTTGTGTTCTGCAACTGTTAGGCAGGTTTTTTCTCCTTCTGAATTTTTTATGGAAAGAAAGTCTGTTAATATATGAAGATACTGAAAGATAAAGTAAAAATCCAGTGGATTTAACCAGTTCACCAGCTTTTCTATACCTTAAGGATATCCCTGTGTTAAAGAAATTAATGGCAATAAAATTGCTCAGTTCGCTAATTTCAAGGAGGAGGAATTTTATTTGTAGGTGCCAGCTTTTTTTTTTCTTTTTTTTTTTTTTTTTTTTTTTTTTTTTTTTTTTTTTTTTTTTTTTTTTTTTTTTTTTTTTTTTTTTTTTTTTTTTTTTTTAAGCAATGCAGGTCATACTGAAAGATTATCTTTCAGCCTCCTGTAGATGCTTAAAACTTGCTTTCTTTTGGTCAGTGGAAAAAATATGGAGGTTTACCTTGTGAATTGTGTTGTTGTGTGTAAATTAATGAGCTGTTGTTGCTTCTAAATGATTATCATGCTATGGGCTTGGTAGTCACGTGAATGAGTTTGTATTTTTCTGTGCCAGCTTTAGGACACTCGTAAGAATGATATGATCTTTCTCAAAGTGGGAAAATTTTAGGTAGAGAAAATTTATTCGAATTATTTTGGCAAGGAAGGGATCACATCCCTGACAGCTAGAATATGCCAGCCATTTTGAGAAACAAGGAAACACACACACACACACACACGGCAGAAGTGGTTCAGTTTTATAAAGATCACAGTCTCTGTCATACTGGACACGTGCTTGACATGTGAATAGTGATCAGCAGGGCTACACTAGCTGTGGGGCTTATTATTCATTCCTCAATTTAATTAGGATATAGTTTGATTTTTAAATATCAACCATTTACGTTGGACTTCCCCCCGTAATAATGAGCAGTAGCCATGAATTATAGGATGTCTTTAAAGAAAGAAACAGGTGAGGTTGTCTGTCATTCTGATATGTGTTTGTTTGAGGTTTGAAATTTTGAGAATCAAAATCGGCTAAGAAAACCTGCTTTGCTTTACATTCCATCAAATTTTGGGCCATTATTTAAAATCCTCGGTTTGGGGAGGGGACAAGAGGGGTGAAGATACAAAATGTGAGAAGATATGTTTTCTCTATGGTTGTTTTAGCAGAAATCTCTCCTATATTTCAAGATGTGTTGTTAAATCACCTCCTATCAGGCAGCAGTTAAGCTGTGCATCGTTATATATAGTAGCAGAAGATAGGCCAAACATTGGGGGGAAAAAAAAATTTCTTCACACTGATGAAGGCAAGCATGTGAGAAATAGCTGTGCAGTGCTATCCCTGATAGACTCAAACCTCTCAGAGTTGTCATCTGGCAGTTTTCATGTATTAAACAGACAAAGAATGCTCATAATAAGAAACATATCATTTCAGTATAGGGCCTGGTGCATGCAAGTTTGCAGGTTCTTTTCCATTCATAAAGGAGGGAGTGAGTAGCACAAAAGTGTGAGAGTATTTTAAATGTTCTAAGAACACGGTACAAGCATGAAATTCTCAGAGTGGCTTTTTGAACAGCCATAAAGAAACTCTCTCTGCTTTATTGTAATTGAGGTGTAAAAAGCATGAAGAGTTTTCCCAAGGCAGCACGAAGCCCACCAATTATGCTAGGATTAGAACCAGTAATTTTAGCAGACTTCAAGTGGCAGAATAAAATCTGATGGCTCAAATTGTTGCCTCCCCTGGATGCCTGCCCCTCTGCTGACACATTGCTGCCCCCAGGGCAGAGATGTCTGATTCAGTTCTGAGCTGATTCCAAAACCATGGCAGTTTTCAGGCAGTATATTAAAGTCAGCTGAAATTAATATCTGTTAAGGTTAATAAACTTGGTTAAACACAGTGTGGATTCAGAAGGACACTGAGAACCTGAGCAGTTGTCCCTGCCTTGAAAGTGCCCGTATCCATCAGACAGAAAACTGGGGAAGGTGAGGATAATAACAGCTTCCACTGTTACATTTTGATCTGGTGCTGAGTTTGCCAGAGCCCTCGTTCTCAACCCTTAGTCCAACTAAAGAGAGTTGTGCTGTTAAATCAGTGTCCCAGTTCAGTGCCTGCAAGTGCAGGCAAATCTCTTTGAAAAGTGCTCATCATCTGAGAGGAACCACCCACATCTTCTGGAGTAATTCATTAAGAAGTTTAAAGCCATCAGGTGTTCTCTCTCATCAGTTAAACCGATTTGAGCTAAAACATGCTGGTGAAAAAGAATGTATGTTTTAAATGATCTGAATACATTAAGCATAAAAGAATCAGAATGGGATATTCAGAAGGCAAATACCTAAAGACTGCCTGCATCTTAGAAGTGGCTTAAGATTCAGACTGAGAGAATAAAAACCAGAAAATGTTGTTAATTTTTTTTAGCCTGCATTCTCTGTGATTTAAAAGACCAGTAGACAAAAGACTTCCACAAATTAAAATCATTAAAAAAAAGAGAGAAAGCAACTGCATTTCCTTGTGTTCAGCAGACTTCTGTACTGATTGCAGTAAGGACAGAATTGGTTCTTCTCTTAGCTCCTGATGGGAATATGTTCTTACCTCAAATGAAGGACAATTCAAGATGTTTTTTCAGCTGCAGTAGCTTTCATTCTAAGGCTTGCCTGCTTTTACTTCCATGCACAATCTGTGCAGTATATCCCCGTGCATCAGGAGGTTATTCCACAGAGGCTGGGGAGCACGAGTTTCTCTCCTGGGTTAATTATATCCAGGATCCTGGAGTTCTGATACAAGTTTTGATCTGAATGAGCACAGGACTGAGACATTTCTTGTGTAGATGCACAGGTGGAAAACGTAAGTGGTGTGAATTTCTGTAACTGCCCTACAATTGCAGCGCTCTTTTGGTGTGTGGGTCTTTCTGTGTGAAATCAAAACAGCCTGAGTGTGTTCTTCTTGCTTACTCACATGTTTCTGGTGGCCTTAAGTACTCAACCTTAATAATGTGAGCAGAGTTTGATTCTGTATTGCTTCTATCTGTAATATAGAATGTAAATATGTGATCTAGGGCTGAACTAACACAGCTGTGTTTTTTAAAAGGAGCAATGTATTGTTCATACCCTCTTTGCTTGTTGCTTGTCAGGTTTACTAGAAAGCAGTACAAGGCTAAAACCTCATGAAGCTCAAAGCTACAGAAAGAAGGCATTGTGGGTTTCCTGGGTCTCCATTATTGTCACACTGGCTCTTGCAGTGGCTGCTTTCAGTGAGTATTGGGAATATTTTAAATCTTCACACCTCTGCCTTTTTGTTTTGCTTTTGGTCTCAGAATTTCTCTCTTTGTGGAAGCTTTCTCATGTTTTTTCTTTGCAGCTGCTAAAGAGGTTTCTCTCCAGACTGCCTGTGTCTGCATGGTGCTTATAAATTAGTAAAACTATTGGCTTTTTTCTGCAGAGTATAGGGCTGTTGAAGGTCGGAGATAGAAACAGGAGACATTGCTTCCTGCTAGCATTTATGCATGTGGAACTGTTCATTTTAGGGAATAGTGTAAAAACTCATTATGCAATGGGTTGCTTTTAACTAAAGGGGTCAAATATGACAAGTCTTAATCCACTTGGGATTTTTAGTGGAAACGCTATAATAAAGAATAGTGAATTGTATTGGAGAAATATAAAATTTGTCTGTATTACACTGACAGATACCCAAACACAACGCTAATGTGAAAGAGAAATCCCAGTTTCTTTTTTAGAAAAAATGAAATATATTACTTTTTTATATATATAAATATATATATACTTTTTATAATACTATTATTTATTCAAAACAGGAAAAAAGCAACCTTGTGTAAATATATATTTTAGTTCAATGCCAGTTTGTAAAATACAAGCTATTCTATCTTGGTCAATTAAGTAACACATTAAAGACAAAAGGAAACATGGAAGCTGGAACAAAATCTTTGCAGCGGCACATCCTCTGTTTGAAAGAAGGAAAAACCAGAAGTGACTGAATTTATGTGTTTATATAAACAAAAGGAAAGCTCTGTCTAGGAGACATCAATGAAGTCTCAAAACATCAATCTCAAGCTTGATAAAGACAGACTTGTGTAATTTTTCTTTTTTTTTTTTTTTTTTTTTTCTAAGTCACAGCAGCATGTCTTTTATTATTCTAATCTGCATTGTCTGACCTGCTGCTGGAAGTTGGTGTCAGCTCCCAGGAGAGGTTATTAAAAGCTGACCAAATGGTCTCTGAAAACTCAACATATATTACTCAGAGCAATTTGTACAGAGACACAGGTACAATAACTTGATTCAAAGCTAAGCAAAAAGAGAAGGAACACTTAAAAGCAGAATCTGACACTGTAAAGAATTGTAATGTTAAAAAGAGAGCTAAACAAAGTTTCCATTTTCTTCTGCTTCGTGAAAAGACAGACTACTGTCTTTGCTACTGAAGCAACGTTAAAGTCAGTACAGTGTTACAAAATAACTGTTACTTATTAACACTATAGTTTTAGGGAATATTGTGAAACAGCTTAATTTTATTTTACATTTTAATTTGTCAGGGTTGCAAGACATAAGTGTAACACAGATAACTAAAGCTCTTAGTTTCTTTCAAGAGGATCTTTTAAAATGTTTTGTAAGATTAGTTAGAGATTTCAGAAATTTCCTAAAAGCTTTTATTTTTTTCCTTTTTATTTTTCTCTTCTTCCCCCTCTGCCCCAACCCCCTCCTTATTTTTGTAACTCTGTTGTATTTAGAGAAAAAAAAATAACCAGCAAAGAATGTAGTCCCTGCCTGGATATACTGTGGTTGCATACTCAGCTGGAGGGGATTGGCATTGAAATCAGCTGTTAGTAGTAGGCTAATTATGATGTTTTTGGAATGTATCTTTCCCCATGGTAGAATCCAAATTTATGATGCCTGGAAGAGGAATCAGCTCACAGATATATATTGAATCTGTATGGAATCTCTTAATAGGCAGTTGACAGTTAACTTATATTCCACAAAAGCATTGCCAGGGCTTTTCATGTATGTATTATTAAAAATTTTTAACCTTTGAGGAAAATACAGTGACTCTTTTAGAAACACTCTGCTCCCCCATGCAAATTCAGAAGTTCTGCTCAGTTTATCATCCCACACTGGCTGCTCTCTTCCTCTCTGCTCTCCTTTTAGCAGGTTCCTCTAGCCAGTCCATGGTTGGGAGAGGTGCCAGGTGACCAGAGTTTGCTGCCCGTTTGATATAAATGACTGGTTGTCACTTTGGGGTGTCTGACACTGACAATTCTTTGCAAACACCTGCTATTTAAGGCATCCTGTTTCCGTTTTACCTCTTGTCTGTGATGGTGAAGTGTTGGCAACACAGTCCTGATGTTCCATTTCAGTGAAAAATGGAACTAGCTAATAGTTGGGCTACATGGTCTGTATTCTCACTACTCCTTCTGACTTCTCTATAAATTCTCTTCCTGCAAATTTCTGTTTTATCCTCTTACCGGCTTCAAAATTCTTTCTTGCAAGTGTATCTCGTGGTGCTGCTTTTGCAGCACATAATATAGTAAAGATACCAGGCCAGGGAACTGATGTTAGTTGAGAACTGCAGTTGAAGAAGTGGAGGACATGAAAGGTAAGAAAAATACCAAGGGGAGTGATGCCCATGTGGAGAGTAGGGAAGTGGTTCAGGAGCCTGCTTTTCCAACCAAGTGTTTGCAACAAGACTTCCTTTCCTTTTTTTTTTTTTTTTATGGTCTTGCTCACCATCCTTCCTTTCAAGACTAGTCTAGTTGCTTCCAACACTATGCTTTTCCATCACTAGAGTAAGTTGGAATGGTTGATCTATGGCAAATAAGGCTTGAGATCACAGAATTACAGAATGTTAAGGTTAGAAAAGACCTCTAAGATCAGTGAGTTCAACTGTTAACCCAGCACTGCCACGTCCATGACTAAACCGTGTCCCATACTTACATACACAGCATATATTTGCTACAAAACAGGTGGATGGTATGTATGTATTCTCTCTGGGATGGGGTGTTTTATGGCCTGAAACACCAGAATATAGGAGTTTAAATGCTGATCTATACATCCAGCTGGGTCTGGTCTCTGTGTCTGGAAAGCTCAGCTAGGCTAGGCTGGATATGGAGCAGAAGGAGTGCGTAAGGGAAAGTGAAGTTGTCATCTTTCATTCAGTAATGTTGAGGACTTGCACTGGCCATGAAATCAGCTTTTCTCTTTAGCTGAAAGAAGAGATCTCTTACTCTCAGGTACTTAATAAACTTAACTTTACTACAGAAATGCTGTACTTGTAAAAGACCCTTTGGCAGTTTCGGCTGTTGTGTCTAACACAGCTCCTGCACCGTGGTGATCACTTGGTCCCACTGGCTTTGAATGCTGTTGAAGGTGCCGTTCTCCAGCATGTAGTTGCATAAGGCTTCAATAAAATCTCTGCAGACTTAAAATTGTAAGGTCCTTGAGGTCAGTGAAGCCCTATGGTATTGTCTTTAATGGCTGAAAGTTAGGTGCTCTCAAAATCTTCTGACATTGTTGTTTTGTGCAATACTTTTATGATCAAATGTTAATCTATGCCTGGTGAATAAATTAATTTTGCTCTTCTTTTCGATGCTGCCTGAAAAATGCATGCTTGTAGAATTCTCATGTAGAGTGGATTTATGTTGTTATAAATATATAGTAATAAACTGTCTGAGCAGGATAAAAATTATTGAAATGAATATTAGATTATTCCGTAGCACTCCAAGTAAGTACTGGAATAATAATTTTAATATAATTGTTTCTGGTTTACTGTAATATAAAAAAAGAATGATAACATAACATGAACATCTTTCCTTTTTTTTTCAGTTTGTGTCTGTGTAGTATAAGGCTGCAGTGATTTCATAATGACAACTATAACTTCTTTCTGTAGCTGCAGTATTAAAGGTTCTTACTAGCCTAGTTTCAGAATCATAGTTGAGGATGAGGTACTATTGCAGGTGGAATGGGACTCTGGTCTTTTGAAACCCCTTATCCTCAGTTTCTTGATGTTTATGTTACTAAAACATAATTTTGAAGAATATACAAGTATAGCTTTTGCAGTTCAGTTTCTGCTCAAGCAGCTGATCTCTGATAATATTGTCAAAGCAGAGAACAAACTCATTGTCTGCTGGTTTTTGTCCTACGTAGACTTGACTCACCCAAAGCAGTGTGTTCCTTCATCTTCCTTATTGGATTAGCTGAAAGGGTTTCACAGTGAATGGAGTCGTCAGATCAATACATCAAAACAATGTATAGGCCACATTCTGCACTAAAAGCTCTCTTTGTAGCTGGAGAAGATTTAGAATGTGAGCCTTTGTAAATGTGGGCTTTGTCAAGGGCTTGCAGACAGCCCTTCCCAGGGTGGTGAGGGCAGGCCCTGCGTGCTGATCATCCCGGGGAGTGGCACTGGGATGCTGGCAAAGTGCTGGGCAAGAAGCAGAAGGCTGTCAGACATATCTTCAGGCTTGCTTTAGAGATCGCTGCTTTTAGATCACCACAGGCATGGTAAAGTATAGAAATAACTGAAAGCTGGAGTGCAACAATAGGTCTGTGATTTGAGGTCATATCCTGGTAGTCTGGTGCAGAAAGTTAAAGGGCTGTTATCTTGGTAAGGTGAGTTGTGTGAGTCTGTACAGGATCTCAGGTGGCACGTACAGTTCTGTAGGTAGAAGTATTAGCTATTACAGGTTTAGTTATTGGGCCATGGGTAAGATATTACCAGTAAATGCAAAGACACTGACATTCTGATTTTTGTATACAAAATCATTTGTGTTTCAGAATTAATTGCTAAAAAAATATTTATTAGAGTGAACTTTCACATACTGAGATTAGAGAGGCATTTTGTTTGAAATGTATGGTCCACAGTCTTAAAAAATTCGGAGTAGGACTTACTTTCAGAGTAAGGCTTCATGCTAATTCAGATTCTAAGGCAGATATAAATGCCAACAAATTTAGGAAGTGGCTCCAGGTCCACTTTCTTTGTTGGAATGCCATTGAGTCATAAAGTCTCCTTTGGGTTAGCTGTAGGACATGACTGCTGGTTTTCCTCCACTGTTATGCTCCTCTGGTGCATGCAAATGAAGTTCCACGGGACAAATATTGAGCAATCAAAGGTGTCACTCTCTGGATGCTCACATGGGACGTTATTGATGTAATCTGTCACTCCTCATCTCAGACATACTGCTCAGACAGCTGAGATGGGGAGTGACTACATTAATTTATTGATGAATGTATCATTTTCTCAGTGACC